AATCCTCACGCTGCCCATTTTTCCTGCTTCTAACACATCAACTTTGAGGACAAAATGTTCACTTGCTGCCTAATATATCCCACCCACTGACAGGTGCCATGATAACCAGATAATCAGTGTTATTCACTTCACTCAGTAGTCATAGTGTTAGCTAAGTGTGTAGGGACTTGGCTTGGGAACCGGAGGGTGACTGGTTCAAGTCCCACAGAGCACAATATGGACTGTGGACTGGTAGCTGGATAGGTACCAGTTTCACCTCCTGTGCACTGCCAAGGTGCCCTTGAGCAAGGCAACCTAATCCCAAGAAACTGCTCATGGGGCGCTGCTAACGTGGCAGCCCATCACTCCACCATCTCTCTCCATGTTTGCATGTCCACAAGTGCATGAAGTGTACATTTCAGCCTGTGTGTGTGTGTGTGTATAAAATAAAAAAGAGTGAAAAAAACAATTTGCCCAATAGGGGATTAATAAATTATATATCTTCTTCTTCTTCTTTTTTTTCTTCTACAAAGACAGACAAAGCATATATATACAATATATACAGTATATACAGTTCCCCAGCCTCATTAGCTACCTTCTGTCTGTTAGGAAGTTTGTAATCCACTGACAAGTGAAGGCAGGAACAGTAAGCTGGGGTACATGATTACATCCAGTTCCCAGTCAAGTGCGGGTCAGCTCAATCATCACATAATACGACCAAGTCCGGTTTCCAAGCAGCAATGTTAAATGAGAGAATTAAGCATTTAGAACTTCTCATTTAGTTACCCATATCAGTTTTCCCGAGGTTCTGGCAATGATTTCATAAAACACACATTTTTAAGCCAGCTAACAACATCAATCATGACCACATGGCCTTGGGCTTTTGGTCATAGCTTCTTATGACTTCAATTTATATCACATACTTCAAACAGCTATAAATGTATTTATACAGCATTTCTGCCTTTTTTGAAACCAGGAAGTTAGACAGGAGTCCTAGGGGATCAATACTTATATACTCACAGGCTTCTGATTAGGTATCAATTCCTTTTATGAATACAATTATATGAATCAAAACATGGGTCGCTGCTAATCTGTGTTTCATGGCTGTGGAAACCTATGAGACGTGAGAATCAAGCACACAGCCACACATAGTCGCGCACTTCAGCACAAACTTGTGTTGTAAATGTGAAAGAGAACGAAAAATGTCAGAAAGAAAACATAGCGTAGTCCGGTGCTACTTTTCACCTAAGGTGCCACACAGCAGTAACACCAATAACTTCTTCAAACATTTAAAAACAACACACCCTGAAAGTTATAGAAAGCTGAACTTTAGAAACTACATTGATATTACCATGAAACTTCCTGTTAATTACATGAATAATTTTTTGTAATAAAAGTTTCCTGAAATTCTATGTTTAAATATGCAAATTAGATATTACATAAAAAAGGTGCAGATTTACATACATTTCCATAACAAGAAGATAAGGTATAAGAAGATTGTATAGTGTTGTGTTGCCTTTCAGGCATAAATTCGAATGAACTTTTATTTTGAAGAGACTCTTATTTTGAAGGGCTTTTGTCTCAGTGGAAAGTTCCTGGTTCACACATTGTTTTGGTCAGTAGTTTGAGGAGGCTAGCTGGATTTACACAGCTACATTTCTGTGTTCAACTGCATGTATTCAACACTGTAAACGCCACAGAGGCAACGTTGTAAGTGAATTTCATAGTTACATTCATAAATTAGTGTTAAAAAATATTTTTACAAGAAGGCATTTGATTTATTTGTATTTAAAAACGTTTTATTTACACTTATTTACATGAGAAAAGCACATGTTACAGAGCTAAATGGTCATTTTTCTATTTGTCTTTGTTACAGTTTTCA